CCTTCCAACTGCAGGTTCCCTGCATTCTATTTGGTTTTGCATAAAATTTGCAAGTAAGGTTTTCCACGTAATAGGAACTGCTTGCCCGTTAGATCTTTCACACAGCGTACTGGATGAACTCATATGCCTTGCAAAACCCCCATATGCATGCTTCACCATCTCTCTTTTTCTCAACCAAAATCCACTAGGAGGAAGACATACATACTTCTTTGTTTTGAGTGAGGAAAAAAAAATTTGAGTTGCATGTTGTGGAGTTTCTTCTCTCTCAACTTGGAGGTTTTTAACAAGGAGGTGGAAGATCACGAACCCTAGTGTTAACCCACACACACTTGCCCTTTCTCTTATTCTCTCTCACATCCCAAACCCTTGATCATGAATGTCCCTCTCTGTATTCTCTCAGCCTCTCATGTACATGAATTTTTGAGCTCTCTGAAAGTTGGAAACTCATCTATGTCATAATGGGGTAGAATACTCTTCATATAGAGCAGTCTTAGGGTAAATTGGATTTCAAGGGATCTTCTCTTTGGGAGACTCATGGTGTCTGAGGGCTATTCTCAGCCATCTAACCCTTGTACCAGCCATCAATGCATCATTATGATTCCTGGTACCAACATTCTTCTAGCCCTAGGTGAATTTTATTAAATCTTCGATAGGGACTTTTAACTCTAGTTGGGCTCTTCATAACCAACCCCAACTAGAAAAGTTATTCCCACCCAGTGTTTCAAAAAGCGCTAAGCGGTACTTAGGAGGTCAGGGGGTCCAGGCCACCCAGCACCTAGGCGGGTGCCCAAAACCTCGGCAGCCTAGAATTTTTTTTTTTTTGGTTCTCTCTCTAAAATAGCTTCTAATGGGTTTTAGGTTTCAAATGAACTTAAAACCCACAATTTTGCCCCTTTAGGATTAAAAAAATGACCCAAAAATACCCTCAAGTAGCCGCAATTCCGGCATGGGGGGCAAGCCTTGGGTGGCCGCCTAGGCGGGTTCAGGCAGGCGCTCAGGCGCTGCATGGTCCGCTTTTTGAAACACTGTTCCCACCTTAGTTTTAACTCCTAACCACCTAGTTTTGACTTTTCAAACGTTATAGCCAACTAGATTTTTAATATATTTCAACTACCTAACCAACTTGGTTTTCTTGAAAGCCAATGTCACATAGTTGTTGAACTTGAAGATCAACTCCACCTAGGAAATATAGGGGCCGACATGCCCAACAAACTTTGAGGTTGACCCTTTTACTAGCACATGAAAGCCATGGCCAGTGGGGTCCATGTGGGTCAATTGGTCAAAACTTTGTGGTCCACATAGAGGCAAGACACATCAGTTATGGGCCCCACACAACTTCATGAACCTCCAAATTTATTCTCTATGAAAGCAAGTATATTACTCTAAGAATACCCTTGTATTAAAACAATATTTTTATTCAAAAAACATTCTCGTTTTAAATACAAAACTTGTTACACAAATTATAGGTGGTTAAATAGAAAAAATAAGACCATTTTTATTTTCCTTGAAAAACCCTTTGAAAGTCTCTGTAGAAACCACCTAAGAGTGTGCCAGCCCTTAAACAAGGTTCTTTTACAAAGCGTTCCATGACTACCGATACCTATGCCCGCAAAACAACCCAATAGATCCATGACTGACATGTACTCCCATGTAAGAGGCTCATGATTGGCCTATCTTAGCTGGTCAAGGCATAGAATTGCCACAGTCCATAATTAGCCATAGATTCCAGGTGGTTCCCCCAAGGACAAGTTTGAGGTCCAATGCACAGACCAAGAATACTTGTACTGGAGTTTGCAGGTTTCCTCCTTGTACAGGGGAGCCTTTCCCAAAGCACATTTATACTAGTAGTCACTCAGACCCAACAAATCTTCAGGATCGCATAGTTCTGAGGCAACTAGCAACATGGATGCTATGTCGGATTTCCATTGCTGAGGTTTTCACGCACTTTTTCTCACAAGCCCTTAAGCATCCTACATTAGGAGCCTTTTTCATCTCCTGAACAACCAGACAGCATCCACCCCGGCCGCAGCCGACCTCAACACTGTAGCCATGCATCCTCTTCACTTAAATGGTTAATGAAAAAGTTCATATCAAACTGCTTTCCTTGTTGGAGTTTCTTCCTTGCACAAAATCAGTGTTCGCAAAATTGAACTGGAACGGTTAACCGGACATGGGCATAGAAGTGGTTTAACTGGCCTAACCGGTAAACCAGCGATTCAATCGCTCTAACCAGGCAAGTCTCGAGCAGTCAGAAAAGTGTTGAAAAAAAATAAAAAAATACAAAAACAAATCTACTAAAATATGATAAGCATATAAAGAATGATTAAAACAAAATACATAATAAGCATATAAAGAATGATTAAAACAAAATGCATTCAAATGAAGTTAAAAGTTAATGAAAAAAATGGATTTTAACCCAATTTATATTTTCCCAAGGCTATTTTTTAACTTTTCCGAAAAGAGGGAAAAATATAAAAGTGAGTATTAATGACCAAAACAAGTTTTAAGCTTTACAATAATGTAAAGAATATTTAAAAATGCATTACAAATCAATTTCCCTATTTTTGAGAATTTATACACATATTTTTGAATAATTTTTTTTTTTTTAAAAATATTGGTTGATCACCCTAACCGCCCAAAACCGGAACCGACCATTGGCTGGTTCCGATCTAACTGAGCAGTTAGCGGCTAGATCGGGCGATTTTGCGAACAATGCACAAAATATACCAATTTGCTATTGGTAGGCCTCTGGCCTGGATGTGATCAACTGTTAAGGTCTTGTCTAATGCGGCTAACTATCCAAACACCTGTATTTTTTTGGGGGAGTTGGAATCTCCCTCACTCTTCGAAGTGCGATAACTTTGGCATTTGAATCGCTGAGAATAGGGCTAGAGGATTTGACTTAGGTCATTCCTCTACTGTTCAAACCCCAAACATGTTATCCTCTCCTCTCTGTGGCATGCGGTGAACAAAAATTCGGCCGCTTGGCTTCCTAGGCGGTGGGTCTGGGCAGGCATACCTAAGGTGTGCGCCTTAGCGCCAGCCTAGATGGTCTAGGCGGTCCACCTAGTGCCATCCCTTAAATAAGAAAAAAAAAAGAAAGAAATTCAAAATCTGCCCAAACAAAAATACGGCTTGGTATTGCCCCCCCCTCTCTCTCTCTCTCTCTCTCTCGGGTCCATGTGCTCTCTCTACATATGAAAAGAAAAAGATGGATTCCAAGTGTTCGACGTGTGGCTTCTCTCTCTCTCTCTCACACATAGAGATACATATGGACCCATATGCTCCCTCTTTAAATGTAAGAAGATGATGACCTCCAAGTGTTCGATGCGAGGTCCCTCTCTCTCTCTCTCTCTCCGTATCCTCCAAGTGTTCGAGACCTCTCTCTCACAAATACAGATCCAAAAGAAAAAATAAAAGAAAAAAAAAGGATGATCTTTAAGAATTTCATGATAGACCTCACGCACACACATACATGCACATGCACACACATATACAAACATACATTCACAAAACACATACACACACATACAAACCAATAAATGGTCCCCACCCCAACTCCTTCCCTTAGGGCCGCCTTTGTGTTTGGGCGCCCGCCTCTGCCTTTCTGAACATTGGTGGCATGAAGGCCACATGTAGTTGGCCGAGTTGCTGTATATAATCTTTTTCTCCTCTTATTACGTTTCTTTTAAACATTAAGTTCCAAACTGCTGTATCATTAATTCTTTCAAACACTTCAGGAATCAAGGCTTTTTTGTATGTTGTAACATTGTGCAGCCGTGGGAAGTGTTTTTCAAAACTCTCATTCCAGTGCCAAAAATCTCTTCAGTATTTGGAAGCGACACTTTAAATCTCTGATTAGTTTATGCCTTGCCATATGTCTGGGGCCTTACAGCAATTTCCGGTGTCGTTCGTGTCAATTTCGTATTTCTGAGCCGCTACCTCCATCCATTGATGATTGGTGTTTTCAGTACCTTGCCGGCCCCACTTCACATTCAATGCATCATTGGCCTCTTTTATCTCTTTAACACCCAAATTACCCAGTTTTTTGGAAGGCAAACTGTGCTTCAGCTTACTAGGTGAAACGTATGTCAATATTATGAATCTCACTGAAGGAAATCTCTTTGAAATCTTTCTATTGTTTTGGCTACTAATGCAGGCATATTAAACAAGAACATTTAGTAAACCGGTAAAGTTGCTGAAGTAGCTTTCACAAGGGTGATACACGCTCATAGGGATAAGTATCTTGTCTTCCAAACTGCCAACTTTCTCTTAAAGCTGTTTGACCATCCCATCCCATTGAACTTTGGCAGGCCTGCTCACACAGAGGGAGTTCTAGATGCTTGTTTAGCAGCATGCCTGCACCACACCCAATTCTAGCTGTAGTGCCTCCACCATTGACAAACTCATATCTGTATCTATGAGTTTGGTCAGATAGATTATTATCCCCAATGTAACTTCAAACGCTATGCTCATCTGAGTAACAACCACAGATTATCTAGTTGCCTGTTCTCAGTTTCCGTGATTTCTTAACTCCAAGGGATCCTATAGCTTTCACATAAATTGATATGATTTAATTTTAAACATTGAAGAGACAAAACCGGTAAGCTTTTAGTTATTGAATATTTTGATTATCTGATCTGTGAGTTGATAATTGTGGACCCTCGAGATACATTTTGGAAATATTCTTGTTATGACGAAGTCTACAAATGTAAGACTTGGGTATTCTCTGACATATATGCAATTGCAATATACATGATATCATTACTATATAATAATGATATGCAAAAAGATAAAATCTTGTCACATTCAAAACGCAAATATCTACACTCCCACTCAAGTTAGTACATGGATGTGAATCATGTTTGACTTGCCCATACGGCTTTGCTTGGTCGTTATATGTAATTCCCAGAGTTTACTTTTCTCAACTGTCCTTCGTGCTTCATTTCTAGACGTGACTTTGAATTGATATTGTAAACTCTTCACGCTCTTCTTTACAGATTGCCAACTTTGTGGCCAATAATTTATCAAGAAATTGGCCTCATGACTTGTATGAGAAGGTTGCTCGAAGCATATGAAATGTGCTGGATGGCTTGCTCCTAGCAGTTGAAAATATTAGATTGTGGCTTGTGGCATATACATGACACTTGAATATTTCCAATCGACTCCAATTGACTTGACCATCACAAATGTTTACTGGTTGCTGCTTCATTGGACAGGAATATTATTGTTCACTTAGTTATTTTGATCAGGTTAGAGCATCAATTTATATGTATTTGTTGATTGCCAGATTTTCTCAGATTGTTAAATTTTGAATTATCAAACTCATATATGTATTTGTTGATTGCCATCTTGTGGATCCTCTAACCAGATTCAGATCCTAGAGGCACAACCTTCATAGCAGAGAAACTTCTTTGTATATTTCTACTTGTATGTGAGAGAGATCGCGCCACTTATTTGGCATAAGAGTTAGCTACCTTTGAATATGTGATCTTTTAATGCAAAAAATGAAAGTCTCGGAATCCAGTGTTGTGACTCAAGAGGGTTAGCTACCTTTGAATATGTGATCTATTAATGCAAAAAATGAAAGTCCCGGAATCCAGTGTTGACTCGAGTGTTATAATTGGTAGTAGAACCATTGAAGCATTTCCAAAAAACAAAAAGAAAACAAAGTTAGAGCCATTGGGGTTGTCTTTCTTTCTGGTTTGGTTTTTCAAGACATAACCACTTTGGGGTTTGCAATGCAAGGGTTCATGTTTTACCAATGATTTGCCGCAGCAAATGCCCCATTCTTTCTATTTTGTGCGCCTGGCATAAAAGTGGACTGTTAAGACAATGCGATGCACCTCCAATGGTTGGGCAGCAAATGCCCATTCTCTCTCTCTATATCTCTCTCACACCCGCACACCCACACCCACACACCAGCACACCCCTCTTTCACACACGCACAGACATGTACTGGAATTGTACAAAGTGTTTTTAATCCAAAGAATGATTGTTTTTTTGTTTCTCTATATTGTGTAGGTTTTTTTTTTTCTTTTCTATAGTTTGGGTAGGTAACGATATTATGCACACAAGCCAAATTAGTTCGCAAGGGCCATTAGTCTTATTTACTAACTCGGTTGATGACTATGGTGATCAGCGGTGGGATTTAAATTTCTGATATTGGACGTTGTGCTGGGGCCTTCCAACTCTCTAAGCATCTAATCAAATTGTTTCTCCATAGGTTTGCTGCGGCTCAATATTTTCTTTTTATATTAGGCTTTTCAGTTGCCCTCTACCTTTTAGAAAACCTACTCCAGACAAGTTTTTTTAACAACTTTTACTCAAATTGAAATTTTTTAGCAAATACCAGTCATGAAGTCACTTTTTTTTACGAAAATGCCCATAGTGCTGGCCTGTGACATTTTATATCGGACCGCATGGTCAAAGTGCCGGATTGTCCTTATTTTGTATTGGACCACATGTTTTCCAGAAGTCTAAAGTGTCGGACCGTCCCATTTTGTGTTGGACTGCATGCTCAAAATGCCAGACTACCCATATTTTGTGTTGGATTACATGCTTTCCAAAACGTCAGACCGTCCCCATTTTGTGTTGGACCGCATGCTTTTCAAATGATATTTTGGTTTTTATTTTATTTTATTTTATTTTTTGACTTGAGGGAGCATTTGATAGGAAAGTTAAAGTTAGTGTAAAAATTGCTAAAAAAACTTGATTTTAGGAAAATTGTCTGGAAATATAATTTTGAGGAGTTTTTGCAATTTTCCCTTCTAAATATAGTAGCAAAGGGCACAAGCGGGAGCACGTATGAGAAACACAGTCGGGTTTCAAATCAAAGGGAGGGAGGTGTTATTCTAGAGACAGAGGAGTACCGCATTGTTTATCTATTTTGTGTTCCAAACAATTATGATTCCTTTTGCGTACGTGGTGAGAGAGAGAGAGAGAGAGCTTTGAGGCCAGTTAAGACTCTAGAGTTTGAGCAATTTGAAATAGGAGGGCTCCATCATTTTTGGATCTCATCCTAATTTGGCCCAAATATGGCACTAAATATATTTTATCGGATTGTTTACAAAGAGTCCATTTGTCTTTTGTTCATGGAGTTCACAATCGTTCTTCAAATTTCAAAAAAGGTGGTTGTAAGAATGTCATTAAATAGACACTTTAAAAAACAAGAAAATTCTCGGATTTTGTGATTCACCTCAAGGCATCTAATTTGACATTTAATGAGTGGAAATAATGTGACCTCTTTTTTTATTGCATAATCGTCTAACCACCTCTTTTTTATTGCAGCAACATGACATGCAGTTGGATTCTTTATGCCCTTTTTGTGGGAACCACGGCGATAGTCCCTGTCATCTTTTGTTCTATTATTCTTTTTCGTAGGGTGTTTGGAGTTCTGTAGCATGGCGATGTGGGAAGCAGTTTGTCCTTGGTTCTCCTGCTCCTGAGATGCTTAGAAGAAGGTTACTTTTTAGATTTAAATATCAGGGACTTCATAATATCTAGACCTCCTTTTTTTTAACTAATGTCATTTTTATGAATGGAGTGAAACAAGAGAGTATTTGAATCCAAAACCACTAGGAGAGAACAGACTGTGAAGTACATTCCCTCACATGTTTAGGCACTAGCAGATGCTAAATAATGATGTTGCCATTTATCAGAACAGGCAGTCATCAATAATTTTAAGATAACTTGGCGTCAGCAGAAGCCATCAACCCTTATTCCTGTGGCATGGTGCTTTCATGTAGAACCCTAGTCTAACAGGTGGTGGTGGGGTCATCAGGAACTGCATTAGTGGATTTATTGTTGCTTTTGCAAAGCTTTTTGGTATTGCGTCCAATAACCGCGTAGAATTCTCAGGCCTTGAAGAAGGCATTCAGTTAGTTGTTAAGAGGAAATGCTTTCCAATTCAGATAGAAAGTGATTCTGATTTACTTGTGAAAGTCATTCACAATCGCAGCCGTGCACCATGGAGGTTACAAATGATTGTTTGAAGACATTTTCCAGCACCATGGGTCCTCGATGCAGAATAAAAGAGAGAAGCCGGTCAATAAAGCCTGACAAACAGTGAAAATTTCGATAGTCTCAAAATGACCCAAGAACAGATCAATATCTTCATAAAGACTCCAAAGAGTCTCCTGCCAAGTTTAGTCGCATTTCGACATGTCTAAGGCAGTGTAGATGAAAAAACATTTCGGTAGAATTAGCCTCTCGCACCCTGAAACGGACCCCTATAACTGGAACCCTACTTTCGAAGCATCAAATGGCAGTGGGACCACCGCCATTGGATCTGGCACGGTCGAAAACTCTCAACGGTAAAATTTCATCTTAAACGAACATTCCAAGAAAACGTTATGGGCAAAATATTGAAACAAGAGTAGCTGCACACTATTCCCATGTGGCCACCCTGTAACTAAACTCCATTAAATGCAGTCACAAATAGTGAACTTGTGACGCCCATATCTCCCTCGTCCAAGATCAGATCTTGTTAAAATTTATTCGAGCGTGTTCGTCTCGTCAAAACCAGCATTTTGGTATGTGGCACGTCCCAGGACGATGTTGGAGCACGGAGAAAAGCTAGAGAGAAATTTATGATTCAAAGAAACATGTTGCAGAAAATCAGCAGGATCTCAGGTTATTCCAGCGGGCATATCACAACACCCGTGAGTTCAATCGACATGGGACCAGTTGCATCGCGTGCGTAAGGTCCGTGGCTATCGCTGGTCCGAACTCCGCACGTGATGAACGGTCAGATTTCACACAAGATTTAGTTGAATTCACTGCATATTCTGGAAGCTGGAATTCTAAATTCAGGCCAAAAGTTCACGAATGTCAAATCTTCATTCGGGCACCAAATCGCGTCTCATTTGTTGCAACGTGACTGTGGTGACATGCTCAGTACAATTCAGCGAAGAAATCGAAGAAAAACATCAAGATGAAAGCACACTATCAATCAAAAGTTTTCAAGATTTATTCAAATTTCAAGTTACGTGATCATGCCTTTAAAGTGTGATTCATGGCTTCAATTTATTATCCAAATGATTGTAGAATTGAGCCCTACATGATGACAATCATCTTTTGTTCATTCGGAAGCCGGATCATCCACGGATCGTTCGAGAAGAATCAAGAACGTCCCTAGTTCTCACCAGGAACTATTTTGGAATTTTCCCAATTGTTAGGGAGGGGCAAATTAGTCATTTTTTACCCTATTTCTTTACTTTTTTTTAGTTCAAATAAATTGTAATTATCCCCAATTAGGGTTAGTTTTAGGGTTTCCACCCACGTTTTCGCTTAAGTCTATAAATGGACACCACCTCTCGTTGTAAAAAAAAAAGAAAAAAAGCAATCAACAGGCTTGGTTCTTGATTTTTGATCAATAAAAATTATGGCTTTCTTCATGAGTTCTCTTGTGCACATCTTGTAGAGAGAGAAAAGAGAGAAAGTTTTATCTTGTACCCCTCCTACTTTCAAGGTATTTTCCCTTCGTGTTCTTTATCTTCTCTCATCATTCCTCTTTTTCTCTCTGTTCTTTTCTTTCTCTCTCTTCTTTCTTCTTCAATCTTCTCTGCTGATCTCTTCTCAGAGGTCATGCACGACAGTGGCAGTACCGTGCATGCCTCTTTCTTTCTTCTTCCTCTTTCTTCTCTCTTTCTATCCTCTCTTCCTCCTTCTGCGACTTTGCAAGTCATGTATGGTGATGGTGGCGCCATGCACGGACTTCTTTTTCTTTCTCTCTTCGTTCTTCTCTTTCCCTCAACATAGTTTGCGCACGACGTTAGTCGTTGTTGTACGTGGCGCCGTTTGAAGGAGCACACGCTGAGCCGGGCTGTACCTAAGTAGTGGGCCGGGCTCCGGTTTCAGTTTCAGGATTGGTGTCACTGGCGGTGATGCGCATTGTTGATCAACTATCTCTCTTTCTTCTCATGGGTTGCAGACAGCACTGCTCACCACCGTTCGCAGACGTGTCTTCAGTGTCCTGCGCTTGTCGCAGATGGTGCTAGTCACTACTATCCACGGACATGTCTTCCACGTCCCACACTTATCGCAGACGGCGATGCTTACCGCTGCCCACGGGAGTCTCACCCGTGCTTCGCATTTATCGCAGATGGCTTTGCTTATCGCCGTCCATGAGGGTCTCACCAGTGCTTTGCGTCTATCGCAGACAGCGATGCTTACCGCTGTCTGCGAGCCTCTCTTTTATGCTCTATGCCTATCGTAGATGGCGGTGCCTATCACCGCTCGCGAAAGGTCATTGCTTGCTTCCCGCGTCAACGCTGTCTGCAGTTCATAGCTCACCTTTCAGCCGTGAGCAGCAGTGTCTAGCGCCGTCCATGAGCCATGACATTGTTACTCCATGGCTGTGGACAGCGATGCCTAATGCCGCTGTGACCTTCCTACTCCTTCATCTCCCATTTTCTCTCTTCTCTCTTCTCTTCTCTTTTCTTCTCTTCTTGCTTGACTAAAGGATAGACTCAGTC